CCACACTACTTCTTGAATTCGTAGTGTGTGTGTGTTTTTTTTTTTAAGATTTTTATTGGTGAATTGGGGGGATGGGAACAGTGCTGGGGAATTGGGGGAAGGGGGACAGACAAGTTGCTGTCGTTTTTTTGTTCAGTCTAGTTGTGGAGGATGTTGCTTCACTGGCCCAAGTTGGCACCATCATTGCACTCTTCCCGGGCGAGGCAGATCAGTCGCCAGCTTCTGGATGGCCGCTCACTGCGGCTGCTGGCCGCTCACGCTGGCTGCTGGCTACACATGGCAGCCCATGGTAACCCACTGCCACAGGGACTGCAGCCCACGCCGTCGCCGGCGACTCACAGCAGCCCAGCTCCAGGTTGAGCCGTTGTTCAGCATCTTAGCTGTGGAGGGCAGTGTCACTGGCCCTCATATGTGGGATCCGAACCGGGGCCCTCTGGCATCCCAAGCGAGTTCTTAACCATCGCGCCACTCGGCCGGCCCCGTAGTGTGTGTGTTTTATTTGATAGGTGGTCAGAAAATAATTTGAATGAGTGTCATGTAATCTTTACAACCTTGTGAAGTAAGTGGTGGTGTTTTTATTAGCTGTAAAATGGAAACAAAGAGGCCCATGAGGTTGCAACTTAGCATTTAAGTGACAGATAAAAATTGACTCAGGTCTTCTGATTTAAATCCTATATTCTTTCCTTTTTCTGATCCAACAAATAGTGATTTCTATATCCTTGCTAGGCAATTTATACAATTATAGTGAATACTTTCAGATTTCTCCTAATCTGCTTTTGATTTAAAAACGAATCTAAATTCATTCTGAAATCAGAGAAACTACCATTTTAGTGTTTTGTTCAAGTATCCTTTTTTTCCCTTAATGCTGCAGAGATTTCAGCTTGTGATCCATAATTGAACTTCAGGGGATTTTCAGAACCCCTGAAGTCATATGCTATGGGGTTTCCTGGGGTAAGAGTCCATAAAGATGAGCAGCTTCTCAAACAGGGATGTGCATACATACGGGCTGGGAAAGGAATGAACTATGGTCCAAAAGTATTTTCTGGATGATTTGGACAGCAGGAAGGCTCCTCTTAACTGCAGTGTCGGGCCGACCAGTAGAATATGTAACTTTAGTGAAGTCACTTGGAGGACTGTGGTGATTTTTAAGTTATAATTAGAAAAATTAGAGAGGAGGTAGTTAACTTTGAAAAGTGTAAGGAAAAATCTTAGATTTGAAAATTTGCCTAGAAAACAGAAATCTGAAATTGGAGAAACAATTATTATGACCTTGATTATTCTTCAGTAATTATTTACCAGCATAAACATTCATATTTTTCTGTACACATATTTACTACTGGGCTAGAGAGTCCTTCAAAGCAGGGATTTGTGTCCATTGTTCACCGTCTGCTGCGGTACTTTGTAAGCCCAGAACATTTTAGATATATGCTTAATAACACTGAGCATTACTATGGTATAGTCTTTGAATTAGAGTCAATGTGGGTAAGGCTAAAGAAGGAGGAGGTTGGGGGGAGCAAGTTTAAACTGAATGGCAGTGAACTAGGAGTGCTTTTTAAGATATGGCACTTGCTGAAGAGCAGCATTTAGAAGTTGACTTGGGAGTCCCCAGGTTCCTTAGTCCCTGCCTGAGACCTCCCAGTCCCCAAGTGGTAAAGACCATGATACAATCACAGTGCACAGAATTGTTTGGTACTTTGTCTAGGGTTTCCTCTGAGGCATGTTATCTTTTTTCTTTTTCTTTAATTTTAAAACAGGCTATTCCTACACATGGCATAAAATTTTAAAGACTTACAGAAAAATATTTCACTCTTACCTCTGCCCCATGTCCTGCTTCCTGGAGGCAACCAATACAATCAGTTTCTTGTGTAACCTTTCAGAGATAATTTGTTCATATTATGTGTATATGTTTTGCAGCACTAAGTTAGGTCCTTGCCTTTATTTATTTTTCCTTGCTTTTTAATATATTGTAAAGATTGTTTCAGTTTATAAAGGATATATTTTTCATAGGTGGATAGTATTTTATTGTATAGATATGCCATAATCAGTCTCCTGTTAATAATATTGGGTTGTTGGAAGAGTCGTGATGCATTTTTTGTTTTTTTGTTTTTTTAAAGATTTTTTTTGGGAATTGTGAGAGGGAAACAGTTTTAGGGAATTGGGGAGGGGAACCAGCCAAGTTGTTGTTCTTCAGTCTTCGTTGTGGAGGGCACCAGTCGCCATCTGGCTGCCTGTCGGCAGCTCATGGCCTTTAAGCTCAAGGTGCTGTGTTCAATCTTAGTTGCGGGTGGGTGTAGCCACCATCCTATGCAGGAGTCGAACCAGCAGCCTTGTTGTTAAGAGCGCATGCTCTATCCACTGAGCCATCCGGGCGTCAGCTCAGCTCAAGGTGCCAATTTCAGTCTTAGTTGCGGGTGGGCGTAGCCCACCATGGAACAGGCAATCTTGTTGTTACACCAGCTGAGCCATCCTGTCATCTGTTGGCAGCTCAGCGACAGCACAGCTCAGGCACAGCATCACTGGCCCATGTGGGAATCGAATTGGCAGCCCTGTGCTGAGAGCTCGCGCTCTTAAGCCAACTGTTAATCAACTGGGCCACTTGGCTGGCCCATGACGCATTTTTGCAATGAAAAACATAGAAAAAATATATCATGACTTTTCTGACAACCCAGTATTAATCAGTCCCCTGTTTTGAACATTTAGGTTGATTCCTTTCTTTGACTTAGCAGCAAGTAACTTTTATGTGAGTCATTTCAAACACATTCACATATGTAGGGATATACATGTTGAATAAATTACTAAAAATTGTGTTTCTGAGTCTTAATCTGTGATTTTTGATTTTGATAGATATTGCCAAGTTGCTCTTCACGGTTGTACCAAGTTGATGCTCATCAGCAGTGTGTATGCATAAGAGTGCCCATTTCACTATATCTTGGTCAACACTACTTTACCTTGGTCAGACGTATAGGCAAAAATGGAATATTGTTGTAGTTTTAATTTGCATTTCTAGTGTATGTGAAGGAATATCTTTACATTTGTATTTCCTATTTTAAGAACTGTGTCCATATTCTTTGCCCATTTTTCTGAGTGGCTGAAAACTGAAACTGAATCTCATTACCTTTCTTTTCTTGGGAGCCCAGCTATCTGAAGTTAGAAGAGTATCTCTTCAGGGACTTAGAAAGAATGAATAAAGCTATTCCACTCCCCCTCTTCCCTCTCTCTCCCTTTCTCTGCCCGTCATGTATGTGATTTTATGAAACCTCCAGATATGTATATTACCTTGTTAGGTTTTGTTTGTTTGTTTTTTTGTTTTTCCCCCCAATCAAATCTCAGGACCTGCATGACCTAAGGGAGATCCCCCTACTTCCACCATTTGTAATAAATACAGTTTATGAGATAAAAACATAGACTCTTCTGCTTTCTTACAGGGACAGGATGATAGGAGTTAAACAATTCTTCCTTCTGTTAAAGGAAGCTAAATCCTGGTCCTAGAACAATTACCACTGAAAGTACCGTATTTCCCCATGTATAAGACACACCTTTTTTTGAAAAATGTGGGGTCTAAAAACTGGGTGCATCTTATACAGTGGTTGTAAGTTTTTTTTTACTTGCATGTCCCGCTTTTTCGCGCTTGTTGTCTTTGCGCTCATTGTTTCCCACTTGTTACCGGTATATTACGGTAGGTTATGTTTTGCCACGTTCTGCCCAGAAATGGCTCAGAAGAGATTTTCATACAGTGCTGAATTCAAGTTATTGTGATCCAGTTTGCAAAAGTGAATGGAAATCGTGCTGCTGAACATAAGTTTGGTCCTCCTCCAACTAAGAAAACAATCCAAGACTGGCTATGGGAAGAAGAAACCCTACTGAAAACGCCACAGCAGAAGGCCATGAGAGGCAAGTCAGCAAAATGGCCAGATTTAGAGAGGGAATTGAAGATATGGATTGTAAAGCAAAGGGCAATTGGAATTCCTGTGTCCACAAAGATGGGTTCAGCATGAGGCAAGAAGAATTGCTGATGAAAAAGTAGTTACTGATCTCAAAGGAGGACACAATTGGTGCTTCCGGTTTATGAAACAAAATGGACTAAGCATGCATACACGCACCAGACTTGCCCAAAAGATGCCTGAAAGGTATGAGCAGAAGGTCCTTGAATCTCATCGTTTTGTCATTCAGTGTCGGAAGACATCAGTTTGAGTTCAGACAGATTGCAAATATGGACAAAGTCCCCCTTCAATTTGATGTCCCAAGTAACAGAACTGTTGCTAAGAAGGGGGTGAAAACTGTAACTGTGAAGACAAGTGGACATGAAAAGAGCCATTATACAGTTGTTCTAGCTTGTTGTGCTGACGGAACCAAGCTGCCTCCTATGTTGATTTTCAAACACAAAACAATGCCAAAAGAAGACATTCCTCGAGGAGTGATTGTCCACGTTCATGACAAGGGTTGGATGGATCAGGATGGGATGATCTGGTTTGAGAAAGTTTGGAACAGGAGACCAGGTGGGCTCTTACGCAGACCTGCCCTGTTGGTGCTTGATTACTTCAGGGCACACATAACAAAAAAACACAAAGAAGATTGCTGCAGAGCAAAAAACAAAACTTGCCATCTTACCTGGAGGCTTGACGTCCCAGCTCCAAACACTTGATGTCAGCATTAACAAACCCTTCAAAGCTGCCATGATAGACAAATGGAACCAATGGATGAAGTCTTCTGGGGACAATTTGACACCAGCAGGAAGAGTGAAGAAACCAACTATAGGAGAAGTTTGTACCTGGGTGAAAAGATCCTGGGATAATATCAAGATTGAGATCGTTGTCAAGTCATTTAAGAAGTGTGGCATTTCAAATGCCATAGATGGAACTGAGGATGAGGCAGTATATGAAGACAGTGATTCGTCATTAGACACAGATGAGGACAAGCTAATGGTTGGGAGTTTTGACAGTGATGAAGAGTTGTATGAATTTTATGATGAATAAAACGAGTTCAATAACTTTAATACATTTTTTTCAAATTTCAGGCCCCAAAATTAAGGTGCATCTTATACATGGGAGCGTCTTATACATGGGGAGATACAGCATTTCACAGAATTTATGCTGAGGGAAAGGAGCTAGGGTACAACGGTGTTTGCCCAGTATTTTTTTTTTCTGTGAGCTATTCATCATTTATTCTTTATTAAGAAATAGCCTATCCAAAAGGAATGATGTGGGTGTGTTCAAACCAGGTTGCTTCTACTTCTTCATTGTAGTTAATCTTTCCATCATCCTCTATTCCTCTTAACACATTCGGGGCACAACATATTATCTTCTAGGTCTGGGTATGGGAAAGTGCAGGCCGGTAACAGGAAGAGAGAGATCATCTTTTTAGGTGTGTCAGGCACCCATGGCTGACCTGCATAGAACAGCAGACGAACCCAACCTTGTGTGTCTGCCAAGAGAGGTCTGCCATGGACCACACACCACCTGACACCAGAGGTTTGCAGCAGAAAGTTCTCAGCAGAAACAGGAATGGGACATGAATTCACAGCCTTAGGTTGAATGGCTCTTGCAGCAAGTCTTGCCCATGCTGCCAACATGGATTCCTGAGCTGAAGTTATCACCTCAACTCTATTGGTCATATCCTCTCTCTCACTAATCTTACAACTTTTCTTACTCCTTGCTCTCTTGGTCACCATCTTGCATTTCTTTGAACTTGATTGCAGTGTGTCCTCTTGGTTTTCTTCAGAGTAAGCATGATCCTTTAGCCTCAGATAAAGGTCTATTTTCTTGCCATCGGTACTCAGATTAAATTGTTGGCACCAGTTCCGCAAAGTGTCCCAACGCACTTTATTCATTGAAGGCAAAATGGTTGGCAAGGGGAGGATTGGTTTTGGACAAGCTTTGAACTGTTCACACATTTGAGGAAGATAAACTTTATCATCTGTCCTAGGAGTCCCCAGGTTTGCTTCCGAGATTGAAGAAATGCTTGGTTCCATTTGATGTTCTTCATTAGGTTGCTCATTAACTGGAACCAATGTGAGAATCACACTTCCTTCATCTAATTCATCCTCAAAGAAATCCTTTTTGCAGCTATCAAAATTTGAGCTTGCCATTCCCAGGAGCACACACTCAGAGGACAGCAAAGCCAGTACCTGCCCAGTATGTTTTTTAATTGAACCTTGGAGTTGTGTAGAGCCTTAGATACTGGAGTTCTGTGTTGAATGTTCATTTTTCAATTTATTGTTAACTGAGAGAATGGATTTTTAATCTTTATGCTAGTGTATAAAATTATGAGTAAGGTCCATGACAGAGTTGTATGTTTACCCAGGGGTGTGCTTGTATTTCTCTAGATCAAGGCAATTTTTTTCTGTAAAATGCCAGATAGTAAATATTAAAATTTAAAATATGACTGTGAGGTATTAGTCTCCTCCTCCCTTCTTTTACCCCACCTTTTTCTTTCTTCTTTCCCTTCATTGCCTTCCTTCCTTCTTCCCCCTCCCTTTAAGAAGAGAACCAGGCAGCAGGTAGAATTTGCAGTGCAGTTTGCTAACTCTTGTACCAGTCTGTCGAGTTGTGAACCAGGTTCTGTAACAGTCTGATATTACCCAAAGATACATGCTTTAATATCCTGAGCCTAGATGACCAACAGAACTGGTATAACTATGTATTTTCTAAGATGATTTTCTATAAGCTATATGGTATTCAGTGGGAACCAGATGAGCTTCAATTTTTTATTTTTTATTTTATTTTATTTTTTTAGCTGAGCCATCCTGCCACCTGTTGGCAACTCAGCTGGGCCAGGAATCGAACCGGCCGACCCTGTTGCTCAGAGTTCGCACTCTTGAGTGAGCTCTTAATCAACTGAGCTTTAGCTGGCCCTGAGCTTCAATTTTTTCATCATTTTGTTTCTCTAAGTTCTTAGCTCTCATTTTAAATTTCCAGTGTTCAGTAAATTCAGATAAATATTTGATATGTTTGCTTCTAATCCTTAAACTTCCCAAATGCTTGAAAATCCTGGAAATGGGGTGGGGTTTTTGAAATCTTTTTCAAATACATTCATTTACCTTGGAAAAGCTTATCCTTCACATGTAACTAAATACACATACACACATTCATTTATGCATACACACATATATACAATATATGGTATTCTCAGTATCTTGATTTTCACAGTTTCAAAATTGCTTAGGGAAACAAAAGTTGTGACAAAAAAACATTAATTGATGAACTGAACACTTCAAAAATTCTGATTTAAATCTCCCTGCTCAGTTAACATTAGCATCTATCCTTGTCTAATGGATTATTTTCTTTCTCAACCAAAAAGTCTCACTGTTAAAAATTGGGCAATACACTACAAATACAGTGCATATCTATTACCAACAAAAATAGATTGATTTTGTGAAGTCAGTGAAAATGATATTGAAGAAGTTGGAAAGGAAATATACAAGGATAGTAGCGTGCTAGAAGCATTTCCAGAGAGTAACGAAAGGTTTCTGAGAGACTCTTGGGAAAAGAATGTTGCATCATGTTACCAGTCAATTATTTGGAAAAACTACACCAAAAAAATTGTAGTAAGTTATTGAATTTGTTGATACAGAATCTGTGAATAATGAGGATAAATGGAATAAAAAATATGGGGCTTTTTGTGTCTGGCTTCTTTTACTTAGCGTAATGATTTCAGGGTTCATCCATGTTGTAGCATGTATCCATTTTATAGCTGTACAATATTCCCTTATGTGGGTATACCCCATTTTGTTATCCATTCATCAGTTGCTGGACATTTGTATTGTTTCTACTTTAGGACTATTGGGAATAATGTTACTATGAGTATTCACGTAAAAGTTTTTGTATGAATACCTGTTTTTATTTCTCTTGGATATATACCTAGGAGCAGAATTTTGGATCACTGTATTTAACTTTTTGAGGAACTACTAGACTCTTTTCCATAGTAGCTACATCATTTTACATTCCCATCAGCAATGTTTGAGGTCTCCAGTTTTTCAACATCCTCACCAACAGTTATTTTATTTTTTTTATAGTAGCCATCCTGACAAGTGTTTTTGTTTTGCACCTTTTTTTATTGTGGTAAGATACACATAACATAATATTTACCATCTTAACCGTTTTTTTGGGGGTTTTTTAAAAGATTTTTTATTGGGGAGTTGGGGGGATGGGAACAGTGGTGGGGAATTGGGGGAAGGGGAACAGACAAGTTGCTGTTGTTTTGTTCTTCAGTCTAGTTGTGGAGGACGTTGCTTCACTGGCCCAAGTTGGCACCATCATTGCGCTCTTCCCAAGTGAGGCAGATCAGTCACCAGCTTCTGGACGGCCACTCACTGCGGCTGCTGGCTACATACGGTAGCCCATGGCAACCCACTGCCACAGAGGCTGCAGCCTACGCCGTGGCCGGCGACTCATGGCAGCCCAGCTCCAGGTTGAGCTGTTGTTCAGCATCTTAGCTGTAGAGGGCAGTGTCACTGGCCCTCATATGTGGGATCCGAACCGGGGCCTCTGGTATCCCAAGTCAGTTCTTAACCATCGCGCCACTCGGCTGGCCCTTAACCGTTTTTAAATATAGTTTAGTGGTATTAAATCCATTCACTTTGTTGTGCAACCATTATCATTCATTCCCCAAACTCTTTTCATCTTGTAAACTGAAACTCTGTACCTATTATGTCCATTAAACAACTTCCCATTCTCCCCTCTCCCTAGCCCCCAGCAACCATTATACTTTCTGTCTTTATGATTTTGACTAAGTACCTCATATGTAGGTGGAATCATACAGTATTAGTAGTCTTTTGTGACTGGTTTCTTTCACTTAGCATAATGTCCTCAAAGTTCATCCATGTTGTAGTATATTGCAGAATTTCCTTTTTGAAGGCCAAATGTTCTGTTATATGTATATTCCACATTTTGTTTACCCACTTATCAGTCGATGGACACTTGGGTTGCTTCCACATTTTAGCTATTGTGAATAATGCTGTTATGAACATGGCTGTACAAATATATCTTTGAGACCCTGCTTTCTATTCTTTTGGGTATATACCCAGAAGCGGAATTACTGGGTCATATGGTAATTCTATTTTTAACTTTCTGAGGAATCATCATACTGTTTTTCACATGTACCATTTTATATTGCCACTAACAGGGCACAAAGGTTTCAATTTCTCCACGTCTTTCTCTCATGGTTTTGATTTGCATTTCCCTAATGATACGAGGTGTGCCAATTAAGTTCATGAACTCATCCTAGAAAAAGCGCTATGTACCTCATTGCTGAATAATCACTACAGTCACCTTTGGAGTACTCCCCTTGGGAAGCTATGCACAGACCCCAGTGCCTAGTCTACCCTTCAAAGCAATTTTGGAACTCTTTTTCTGGAATGGCCATCAAAGCTGTCATTGTATTACCCTTGATGCCCTGAATGTCATCAAAATGTCTTCCTTTCAATATTTCGTTTATTTTTGGGTAAAGAAAGAAGTCACTGGGGGCCAGATCAGGTGAGTAGGAAGGGTGTTCCAATACAGTTATCTGTTTACTGGCTAAAAACTCCCTCACAGACAGTGCCATGTGAGCTGGTGCATTGTCGTGATGCAAGAGCTCCTTCAGGACTGTTTTTGTACATACCTTTCTCATACACACCTTTCTCTAGATTTTCAGTGAAGATTTCCTAACTGCTTCTCTATCGATGTTTACTTGGTCTGCTATGCTTCTCACAGTCAGCCGATGATTTTGACGCACAATTTGATGAATTTTGCAATGTTTTCATCAGTTCTGCTCATTACTGGCCACCCTGAACTCTCTTCATCAGTGACACATTCTCTCCCCTCAGAAAAACGTTTAATCCATTTGTACACTGCTGTTTTCTTCATGGCATTATCCCCATAAACTTGGACTAACATGTTCCTGATTTCACTTCCACTCTTGCCAAGTTTAACAAGAAATTTAATGTTTGTTCACTACTCTAATTCAAGCTCAGACATTTCTCGCGACAGCATACAAAAATATGCATCAGCAATAATGAACACCACTCAGCAAGATACCGCCATACGTACGTCGATACAAACAAAGCTGTGAGACACTGATTGACCAAGGTTATAAAACCTTACCGATGGGCCTGCCAAGTGGCTCAGTTGGTTAAGAGCGCAAGCTCTGAGCAACAGGGTCACTGGTTCGATTCACACATGGGCCAGTGACCTGCGCCCGAGCTGAGCTGCACCCAAGCTGAGCTGCTAACAGGTGGCAGGATGGTTCAGCTGGTGAGAGCATGTGCTCCTAACAACAAGGTTGTCGGTTCGACTCCCACACGGATTGGTGGGCTATGCCCACCCGCAAGCAACTAAGACTGAACGCAGCATCTTGAGCTGAGCGGCTGTGAGCTGCCGACGGGCTGCCGGATGGCAACTGGAGTTGGAGCTGAGCTAGCTGTGCCCTCTACAACTAAGATTGAAGGACAGCAACTTGACTGTTCCCCTTCCCCAATTCCCCAATAAAATCTTAAACAAACAAAAAAAACCCTTACCGAGCTGTTTGTACAGTGCTGCCAGTGTAAGTGCACAGTGGCAAGTTCACAAACATAATTGTCAGACCTTGTAATGATGTACATCTTTTCATGTGTTTATTGGCCATCAGTATATCTTTGGAGAAATGTTTATTCAGACCCTGTGCATTTTTTATTATACTTTTTTTTTCTTACTTTTATTAGCATTTATTTGATGCTGAATTTACTCCCAGGCCATAAGTTTTGTTTGTTCTAGGAGATCTTTTTCTTCTGTGCAACCTCCTCTTCTGATTTAGGAACAATTTGTTTTTTCTGTTAGGATCATCTCTGTGGCAGGGAGAGCTCATACATCGGTAAATCAGCCTGTGAGCTCTGTAAGCTCTGCACCACATCTTGGGAACTTTGTTCACTGGCTATGTTCAATGACCAGAGAGTCTACATCTAAACCCTTAAGTTCAGCATTAGTCTCTGCATTTTTAAGCTTGCACAGTAAAACTTCTGCACTCTTTTTGGGCCACCAGCTCTGCATTCCAACCCCACTGTTTGGCCTGGGCACACCTCCCAACTCCACCATTATAATGACGGAATGGCACACATTGCTTTTGTAACGTGACATCCTCTAGATCTTGGTAGCTTTTCGGATATGCGTACGTACCCTTGATGACCTGGGCAGTTTCACGAGTGTTTTTTAAATGAACAGGAAGATTTGAACCTTTGGATTTCCATGATTTTGTGGGGTTCTCTGGGTCAAGCGAATAGTGAACCTTTTTCAGAGGCCACTTATGGGAAGAACCCTTTGCCCACTTTTCAACTGGGTTTTCTTTTTTTTGTTGTAAGAATTGTTCATATATTTGGATATCATACATATGATTTGTAAATACCTTTGCCCATTCTTTGAGTGTCTTTTCACTTTCATAA